ATAGTGTTGGTCTGGGAGTTGGGAGACTTGGATTCAGTCCTCTGCTCAAAATTTTATCCTGCAGCCTGCTCATACTACTGCCAGAGAGAGCTTGATCTGATGAGGCCTTCCAGTGATATGTGAGATATTATATGACTTAAATTTGTGGTGATTGTTGTGTCTCCTGGCTGTCAGTGTGCTCTAAGACAACAGGTTATTTTCTTTATTACTGTTTGTGTGTTCAGTTATCCAGTAATCAGATGGAGCACCTGGTCAGGAGCATTGAATGAGAGTTGTGAAAGCATGTTTCGCTTTTCCAGAAGGCTAATTTGGAAAGGAGTGTAGAAGTATAACTGACTCTCTAGTACTCTGGCTGTCCGTGTGTGCATTAGAGATAGTTGGTTTTTGTCATTTGGAAAAAAAATTCCCAGCAAAGCATAGTCTTTTTTCAAAATGAAAATTTCCATTCTTTGATGTTTGTCAACAGCAAACACCTGGGAATGGGAGAATTCTCTCCATGTTCCTGTGAACATTGGGAACAGGTTGTCCATTATCCATGTGGTATGGATCAGGCAGCCTGGCCCGTTCAGTGTCAAAAGAAAAAGGGAATTTGCCTCCTGCCAGTCTAAAGTCAAACTCTATATAAAATCTGGACTACAGGTTTGTGGGTAACTCTAATATCCTGGGTATCCAAGCATGGGCTCCATCTGAATCTGATGCCACTGAGAATCCTCATTTACAATTTTCATGGGAAGATGCAAATAGATAGCTGGGGATTTTCACCTTAATTTTGTCCTCTAAAATCCATATGCTCAGCTGCAGTGAAAGAGCTTGTTGATCCTATTGGTTTCCAGTGTGTGTCACAACTGCTGTTTCTTTCCAAGGCACTTAAAGAAAGAGCTAGAGGTGTACCTGTCACTTGATAGGCATAGACCTGCTCAGCAGTACTCTCAGCTCCTGTCTGCCTACTGCCCATGTTGCCTGAGCCCTCAGACTCAGTCACACTCTTGGCTGTTCCATGTGGTAGTGTTATGCTATCGACCAGACCAGCCATGCCCATGTGCTTGGACATTTCCTTCAAGAAAAGCTAGGGCCTGAGGAAGGACACAGAGGAAAAACAGGTACCTGGCTCCTCTTGACTTCATGATGTTTTTTCTTTTGTTCTTGCTTGAATATCTGCACCAGCAAGGTGTCTGCTCCTGAAGCCCATCTAGCCAATGTGGAAGATGGCTGGAATGGGCAGCTTGGCCCACTCTCCTTTTCCCAACTTCTCAAAGAGAGTCCTATATAGTTTAATCTTAGTAATACATACCAGGCTATTTTGTCTCTTCTGCTCCAGAAGAGACAGAATCTTTCCTGCCCAGCTCACCTGGGGCTAGCCATGCACAGTTAGGTAGCCCATGTGGCAAGGTCATTGCCTGTTTCCCTTTAATTTCCCTGGCAAAGCTCCAACTGAATGGCTGACCCAGGTAACCTTTTTTTACTATTTTTTCTTCCCTATTGTGCTTCCAAAACCTGTTGGTTAAGAATCTTAGAGGCTTCCCGACCTGTGTGTCTTCTAGTGTGTTTTGTCATGTCTCAACAGGGAACCCTTGTGATTGGTGGCAAAGAAGTGACTCTTGAGTACACCCCATGCCCAGAATTTTGGCGCTGTAAACATGTAAGTACGTGGCAACCAATGACTCCTGCACTAAATTTTCCACCATACTTCTTTCCAAGGAGCACTAGGCAGGAGAATTAGATGCTTAGTGGCTGAAGATTTCCATGAGAGTGCTTGATGAATCCTGAATGTCTTGATTTTCCTAAATTTCAAGAAAATTTTGTTCTCTCTGCATATTTTTGCCAATGCAGGAAATGCTGTTTCTACAACTCAGTGTAAGTTAATGTGCCCTTACTATAAATAGCAAGTGGCAACAGATGCCATCTCCCACATCTGGTTTTCTGGTTGCTCATGTTCCTCCTTAGAGCATGATTTCACTCTGAGAGGGGGCACTGAAACAATATCATCTTCCCACTCTATGGATTATCTCACCTCAGTGGCCCAAATAAAGTAGTGCTTCTGCTGACGCAGAGTGGTACTAGCTCAATACAGTGGAGCAAGCTAAATTTTGTTCTGAGTCACGCATCATCAGTGAGCATATCTCCAGTGCACAGTTAACGAAGGCACTCTCACTCCAGGTTTAGCCCAAACCTGCAGATCTCACAAGCAATCACAGTTTTGAACCTCTAATCTGGATTTTGTGGTTTATGAAACACGGACTAGCAAGGTGCTCAGACCAGTGCCAGTCACCTGGGTTTAACTATACATTGAAGACAGCCTCGGGTTGCAAACTAAATTCTGTCTTTAGAGAATAACTCTACCATTATTCATACTTAAAACATTTTGATGAGCACAGTGGGGCACATAATTGTCATAGGATAGGATGGCAAAAGTAGAATTATTCAGTTGTCAGTTCAAGTAGATTTTTTTTTTCTGCACAAACCTTATTTCTAAAGTTTATGGACAAGCCTGAAAGAGCCTGGGTTAACTCCCAAATCCCAGGAGGAGTTGGTAGGGCTAGCAGGAAGAGGGAAAAGTGTTTACAGATTAATATTATTTGAGCTGGAATTTAGGATGCTGTAGATACAGGACTTCCCAATACTACATTGAAATTAGACTGTTAGTGTAGAGGGTTCTTGAACTTTTCTATACCAAGAGCCAGGCTTGTGCAGCTGAAACTCCTCCCATTTATCAGTCCGGTAAGGTTAGGGTAACACCTGTTTATTGCCCACCTCTAAGATGCAAGTGCTCAACTTGAAAGTGAAATGACACATTAAATTAAGTTTCCTCCTCTGTCTTAGAGATCACATTAGTAGGAGAAGGCATTATGCAGTAGCAGGGGACTGGACCTTGTGTGACCCAGGAGGTTCCTTCTGGGCCTTTGGCAGTATAAGTCAGATTTCTGGTCTCCCGAAGTCTCACTACTATGCATACTGAACCATTTGATCCTTGAATTACTGGTTTTTAGGTTCTTTGAGAACAGGGTCCAGTCTTAGAAAAACTGCCCTGAAGTGTACATACAACTGTACCGACCAGTGCAACCTTCCCATATGGCAAATTGATAACAATGGGATTTATACTCCAAAATCTCACAAAAATGTAATCTGCGTAGGACCATGTAGGACTTCCCCAATACTTCCCCAAATCCTACCCTTTGTTCTAGCCCCCTCTGTTCTGAGTGCCTAAAATCATCCATTTTGCTTTTATACCCTTTCCTATATCTAACCTGGATACATTCTTGAAGTATTGCAGCATCTGTACTGTTTGGAATAGGCTGACTTTTGCAAGAACCTTCTAAATGTCATCTCCTCATGTGGTCCCTCTTTCATTTCAGTGTAAAGTGAGCACTGTAGGGTACAGATCTTCCTGCTCTTTTTGCAAGCTCCCAAGAGATGGTGAGTATGTTTTATCATGATTTTAAGTTGCATTTTATCAGTTAAAAGCCCTTCCCCCCGCCATGAGTGAAGAACTCTGTTTCTGAGTTTCCGTGTGTATCCATTACTATCCTGTCATACATCTAGACCACTGGAGGCCATGACCTTGAAGCAGACACTTAATTAGGTGGGCGCCAATGGATGAGACAGACCATGGAACTCATGAGTTCCCTCCCATCTATCTGTTTTGCTTAGGAGATGGGTTATGACTTTTGGCTGCCACTGGAGCTTCATTTATCCCCAGCTTATTGTAACTGTTGGCAGCCTATGGCCTGGGACCTGGATCCAGCCTGCAAAGACAGTGCATTTGGCCTGCAAAGGTCCAACCTCTCTTGGTTGGCATAGGTGATTGGGCAGAATGAAGCTGCATTGAGTTGCATTTATCTTCATTTCAGAGGGACTGCGTCACAAGCCCCAGCCCACAGCAGCACAAGGTGGCCTAGCCTAAGAAGATGATATTTGGTGTTCTAGCTAACCAAAGTGGCTTTCAGCCACTATTGCTTGGGAGTCTAGGAATAACAATAAATGTGATCAGATTTGAGACTGCTGTCTCTGTGACTAGACAGCAGATCACAACAACATTTGGTCACAGACTCTGACCATTCTTTAAAGTTCCTCCCTCTCTCTTTACCAGTGTTATCTGGGGGATGAACTTGAGCTGACAGCTGTCCATCCAGGATTGCATTTTTTGGACAGTGTCCCCTCAAAATTATTCCCGTTATTCCCGTTATTATATACAGTGGAAGGTTTTGCTTTGCTACTGTTCTCCTTGGAAATTTAGAATGGTATCTATGTAGCAAGTCTTTATCATGGATAGATGTTATGCATTAGAAAGTTTTGCTTCAAAGAACAAAATGACTGACGTTACCATTTTAGCTCCTAAGCTTTCCACTCTTTTCAGAACTTTTTATTCACTGCAGCCCTATCCTTGCAGAGTTCAGCTTCCCTACAACTGGCCCTGTAATGTGATGGCTCCCCTGTTAGTCAAGAGAAGCAGAGCCTGGCTGACCTTTTATCTCCATCTATTTAGCTTGTGTAACAATTGAATGGTAGTGCAAACAACCGAATAGTTATTGAAATGTTTGCAGTTCTCTCAGTGCTGTGAATGTCTCATTTTACTAATCTTATCAATTGATGGTAAGGAAAATGTATGTATTTTAAGGGCAGGCAAGGTTCTGTGGGTAGATTTAATATCTTTTATTAATCCAATTAAGGGTGAACTCTGCATGACTGTTCTTTAATGGAAGAGTGACATGAAAGTGCAGATGAGGAATATGATTATCCCTTTGTATAAGGAGATGTTGGAGGAACTCCTGTGCACATTATTAGATAGTAGTTTTGAAACAGTTTTTGTCATGCATTTTTCTTGCAGGAAGGAAACCAGGGACAGAGCCCAAAACTGGTTCTGAGGAGGAGGACGTGCAGGCTGAATTAGACTTCAGTAAGAGAATTGCTGTCACAAAATATGGGATTGTGGTTCTTTAATTGTGGGAGAAATGCTTATAGACCAGATTTTTTTGAAATGTACGTGAAAATGTTCATGCATAATTTTATATAAACAGTACCAAAGTTGCATGTGCAGTGTCTACAATTTCATGTGCAATTTTGCACAAAGATTTTTAGGCAACTTTGGCATATAGTCAGGATCCTGTATACTGCAGATTTGAAGTGAATTATTAACTGTCCTCATGTACTGTATGTATTTGTTATCACAAAGCATTAATCTAGATTACACCAAATCCAGTATGTAGCTCTCTCAATATTTGTACAGTGTATGATCATATTACTGCTCCCCGGGTCCCACATGGGGTGGCATTAAGAGATTTTCACTTGTTGGGTTTGTCTTAGTGCACAGATATGGGAGCATTCTAGTATACAGGGCCTGTTGGATGTCACATAGTACCTCTTGGTACTGAAATGACAGCATGATAGCATCAGCTCCTCCCATTCATGGCCAACCTCAAGTCCAAGAACTTTCACAGAATATTATATTTCCCAAATTAAAGACAACCCAGAATTTAAGACAATCTTCCTAATAATTATGATTCTGTATATGGAAAAATCATAAATTTGTTATAATTTTCCATGTATAGATTCTAATTATTGGGAGGGGAGGTCATCTTAAATTCATCCCCCCCACCACTGCAGTGGGAAAAGCAATGGCAGAGGGACAGGCAGTGGGGGGTGGGTCAAGCAGCTTGTCCTTTCCACTGTCTCCCTTCCCTCCCCCCAACAGCCTCTGCCTCCTCCGCCTGCCCCTTCTCGCAACCTTGGGCCCTCTGCTACCCTTTCCCCCATTCCCCACCCCTGAGCCACCTTGGCTAACCATGTTAAATGGGGCAAAACCCTCATCTTGGATCTGAATAAATATGCCATGAAAACAGAGTGTTGTCTCTGCATAGTCAAACATCCTGTTGGAATTCTATCCTCAGAGGATTCTGGGATATGGTAGAAGGGGACCCCTTAAAAGGGGGCCAACATTAAAACTGTTGGCCCCCTTTTCTCTCCTCTTCTTGGAAGTTCTAGGGTGGCAGAGGGGCAGGGGAGGTGAGGATAACAGCAAGATGTGACATGATCCAGTCTAGAAGAGAAAATGAAAATGTGAAGTTAATTTATAAACAAACCATTTCTTCCTTTAAGACTGGTAGGTGCATTGGTGTTGATACCTTGCCTCCACAGGCCCACATCTGTGAAACACTTTCTCTCTCTGTCAGCTTTAGAAGAATCAGCACTAGATCCTTTTCAGAGTAGGGCTGAATACCTCTATATCACAAAGGCCTTTTAGCACAGTACAGTGAGGCTTTGATCAATGTATTATGGTTTTATTTAAAAGGTGCCTGTATTATCTATGATGAATAGGCATCTAATATAAATGATCTCATTATACCGCTTGTCAGTGCTATAGTTACACATACCTACACACGGTTTTTTGCCAACACATAGGAAAGACAGATACCACGTGCCAATATGCATAGCTACAGTGGTCTACAAATAGATTAGATAAAAGACTGAGATCAATGCAAGGCAGGGTTGATCCTGTACTAGACCAGCAGGTAGTTGGCAAACCCATCTGGGGTTCTTACTTGGGTAACAATTAAGCCCCAAAAGTCAAGAACTTTTCTTTCTGCAGTAAAAAAAAGTCAACTGTCATCTGAAAAAAGTTCTCTATGAATTTGGATGTGAAGATACTTCAGTTCAAAGCATAAAGCATTTGCAACAAAGTTTAATTTGAT